TTTCGATAACAACTCGCCTACAAGGACTATTAAGTTTCTCGATGTCGATCTCTTAATATTTGCGAGGAGAAAACACAGATAAACAAACTGACTCTGATGGTTAAATCGAGTTAGAATTTGATACCATCAAGAGTAATTTGTAGAATGTCAGAAGCTTTTTCCCTGGCATTGCGAAACTTTTGATTAAATGAATGTAAACCTAAATGGGTATATTGGGTATCAAAGTAATTACATTTTAACTATTATCATTGGTCACTTCTAGTTTTTTTAGAGAACGAGCTTTTTTTCCTTTTTTTTTATATATATTATCTTTTTGTTTGCTCTCGTATTAAAGTGCGGACTATTCATCTATCCATGACTGTACAAGTGGAAAAAATAAATGTTTTTTATTTTTATTTAGAGATCGTTGTTACTGCACATTGAAATGTTTGCTTCATATTATATTCAGTCTGTATTGTTACTGTCATCGAGTTCAGAGTAGTTGAAAGAAGAAATTATGTACACATTCGTATATTGTTACAACAACTATACCGCAAATTATAAAAACGCAAAAAAAAAATGGAAAATGTTTTGTTCAAAGATCACTTAATGTCGTTGCTTACGTATGTAATATATGTGAATACTTGTAAGAACGTCTATATGTATCTACATCTACTATATGTGATACAATGCAATTTTTTGTTAAAAAAGGGAAAGAAAAACACTATTTGTTGTCATTTAAAATAATGCAAAAGGCATTTAGAAAATGCTTAAGAAACAACTTTTTAATGTTGCATATACGTGAGAGTATTTCATTATTATCGACCCGTTTAATCACTTTTCGCATTTTCATAAATAGAATTAGAATTCTTAATGCTGTATGGGCGTACGGTGCCTCACCTTATCATGGAGACGGCTTATTAAGCGTCCATTTATGTTTAGCCCTTCGTTTGTTGAGTCTCACCTTCACTTTTGGCGCAAAAAACGGTGTGCACGTCCGGCTATTTGTGATAGTCTGAGATGTCAAGCCAGTTTGAAAATATAAGATTGTCCACTGGTCAACCTCCTTCCTTTAATCAATCTAAAGTCATACATCGCTTCTAAAACGCTCATCGGTTTACCCGTATTTATCGTGCAAAGTCATTTTCAGCGTACGCACCTTTGCGCACGTCTAGGTATTCGTCTCAGTCTCCGGTCCTGCATCAATTTACATTCCTCTAAGATTTTTGACTATTTTCGGCGAGTCCACTTGTCTATTCATTCGCACGTTTTCGAAATGTTAAAATTGTTCTTAAAATTAAAATGTCAAATCTTGTATTGAAATATTGACTTAATTGACTCTAGCAGTGACAACACTCTTATAGTGTGCTTTGATGACCGATACTTTAAAAAAAAATTGCCCTTACATCCTTTCTAAAACACATTTTCTCATTCGCTCCAAATACAGCGCGTATTTGATTGCAAATAATGGCTGGTTTTTACATACTCGAAGCTTTTCATTCCATCTTTTAAATATAATTAAATTTAAACCGCAATACCTTATGAAATAAATATAATAAATACAATATAATAAATACAAGGCTTATTTATATGATAAGCTTTTACACTTCGTTTGCGAAAGAAGTTGTAACACATGTTCAGTGGATCATTATAACTGTAGACAAAAATCTTTAGCAGAAGATTTAATTTGAAACAAGTAAGAAAATTATACTCGGCCACGAATCAAACCTTTCCCAACCGTTATCGCTGTCCATTCTGTATCGTCGTAAAGTCGGCGAGATTTAATTTAGAATTAGCACACTTACCACAAGTCACCGGAAGAAAAATTAATTTTGTAAATGCATACCCCACAAATTTTCCCAACTTTCGTAATTGCGGTTCTCTGCTTTATTGTTTTATATACAAATATTTTTTTGGAGCGCCTGGAAACACAATTTGGTTTAGACAGTTTCTACTATAGTTAGTACTTAAGTATCGAATCCCCATACCCAATCTATTCTACTCGTTTAAAATATTTCGCTCTTATCTTATCTCGTTTTGTTGCTCTCATCTATTTTAGTAAGCGAAGGTCACTGATGTTTCTTTCTTAACGCAACTGTTAAAGACTTATGTTATCTCTGCCTTTAAAAATTATACCGTCTTATCTATCTAATAGTTGCTAAGGTGGTTAATTAACCTATTAGGAAGAAAGATGCCAGAAAGTCATTCTAGCTAACGCCAAATATCTTTAAATTGAACTTTCCCACAAGATGATCACTGATAATTATTCACGTCTGTCAAAACTAACTATGGATACGCATAGGGGCTACAAAAATGCAATAAAAGAAAACCAATATTGCTTTCGATTGTATTTAAGCAACCACCAATGACGACTTTGCAATTCATACCATTCATATAACATTTCTTCCTTCTTAGCTGTTGCTTGCTATTGCTTGCTGCTTAGAATCGAGGGTTTGCGTATTTGAGTGAAAGACTTTTATGGTTTATATTTGTGAACTTTATTGTGTTTTTGTGTACACATTTAAAACCCGCATTGACGAAACCTGTGAAATTTTATTCGTTTCTATTAGAAAATTATTAGTGTGTCCTCATATTCCCCGTATGACATCTTACTAAGTGAGCTTACTATGCGTTGTGTACTATAATATCCAATATCCAATAATTCATCTCTCTCTCCCATTGAACCTTTATGGAAAAATTTTTTGAATTGTTGGGAAAATTTATTTATTTTATTGGGATTTTAATGGTATTTTAACTTGTGTGCAAAAATCTTATGTATTTTTTTAAATAATGGAAACTAAATAGAAATAGAAACGGTATGCGGGACTTAGGAAAATGTTTCTTCCACAAAACTGACAAATATGTGCTATTGGGAAAATTTAAAAAAAGTATTTATCATTTTCGAAAATAAAAAGTAATCTATAATGAAGAGTAAATGGATATCTCAAATAATGTTCAACTCAGTCGTGCAATTGTCACTTCCCCTCTTCTCGTATCTGTTGTTGGAATTACGAAAGTAACTAAAATTAAGCCCATATTCGGTAACTTCAAAAATATTAACCGATTTAACATAAATAATATAATATTAGTTTGGTGTCATAGTGCACATCTTTTCCTCTACCTTATATACAGTGGCCTAATTTCGCGATTATATTTTTCGCACGAAAGCGGAACAACCTGCGGAGGAATCCACAATCAGATATGGTTGGAATGATTCGAAAATTGAAGTAATCACTTGGCCGCGTGAATACTCAACAACTCAACAACTCAACAACTCCTCCATTATAGCTAATTATTAATTAAAAGCAACGGTGCTTATATTTTAGACACTAAGTTTAGTTTAATTTAAGATGTAAGGGGAGAACTCTGGAGTTGCAGATCTAACGGAGAATATGTTGCCATTCTTTACTAGCAGGTTACGTTTTAAGCGATGTTAGGTATTTTTTTTCCTTTAAAATTAAAATCTGTTTACCACTGTTGAAGACAGCCTTAACCTTCAAATTTTACGATTTTCTCATGCCAAAACGTTGAAAATTGATCACTAGCCCCTATAGCCAAATGTATGTGTGAGCGGTACGTGAGAGAGTTTCATATCCATACACTTTATGCAGTAAAATAAAATTCTACAAAAATTTATTAAAACCCCTACGCAAGTTATTCTCAATAGTATTCAAATTAAAAGTACCAGCATAACACCAAAAACATGGAAAAGAGAAAAATCGACAAAGGTCGCGATCTCTTGAGTCAATGCAAACACAGTGTGACACGCGCTAATAACCTAACTGATCATACTAACATGTAGGGATACATATAGCAACCCCTTAGTCAGCAGAATCAACACAGTCGACCGCATAATACGCAAAATGTCGTTTGAATGTGAAGGATCGCGCTACCAGAGGACAAGGGTGGCGGGACTATTTGCTGCACTAGAGAAGTTGTTTTTGACACGCATTAACACGTGACCCACATGAGAACAAATGTCAGTAAGGTGAAGCGAATAAGTAATGCCGTCATCTTTATTGCTGTTTTTGTGATAATGTCAGTTCTAAATATCAAGGTTTCAGACAAACGTAAAAAAGATGCCTTTTCGACATTTTAAATCCGACAATAAGCAAAATTTTGACACATCTATGTTGAATTTTTAAATCAATGTTAATGTGAAATATATAAATTAAATATAAAAAGTTATTAAAATAAATCTAAAGACATTTGGCTTTTTAGGTTTCATTTATGAGTGCTTTTTTATTGTGAGATTTTTACTTTTTTAATTGGAATTATTTTTGTTCATTTTCTTGTTTTCGTTTTTTTTTTTTCGTTTATTTACTATTCATTTATTAGCGCTTATTTTTATTTGATATATTATTATTATTTTTGCTTTTCTTGAAAACGCTTAAAAGTTAAGCTTGGCTTAGAATTGCATTTCTATAGAACACGGTTAATATAAAGATGACAAAACATTTCCAGTTTAAAAATATTTAAAAAACAATGTAATCCTTTCTATTCCCAGGCTCTAAAAAATGCTGGTATTCTGTTAAAAAAAGTTTCAAATTTTCACATGCTTAACAGTTTGAAAAGATATGCTTAACCGTTCGGTACTCTCAACTGATAGGTTAAATGCTTGAATGATGTCTAAAAATATACAGGAAATGCAAAAACAAAATAAAGTACATGCTCTTGCACACACAAGTATGTACAAAAAGAGAAACAAATCAAACTTACCCTATATATTATATTATATTAATGCAAAGGAAGCATGCACACATGTTTATTTGTCTCTTTCCTTCGTAAAGATGCCTTGTGCATGAAACAAACTGTGTATTACTGTGTATTAAAATATCACGTAACGTTTGTTTTGCTATATTTTTACTTTGTGTCTTCTTCTTCTTAGCAAGCAATGAGTATATCGCTTAATAGGTGGTCAGCCATTGCTATAATCTGATTGGTTATTTGCTTACAGAAAACGGTGGCCTGCTAAATTGGGTATAAAAAGGCAATCAGAGCCGTTTGTCGATTCAATTAAGGGCCTCGTGTTCATCGTAAAACGTTAAACGCATATTCTTAATGTATGCTTTTTTTTAAAGCAACAAACACAAAGTATCAGAAATAGTTATAATTACTATAGAAATCAGTCAATAACTTTGGTCAATTAAGACGAAGAGACTAATTTTTTTTTACTGAAGATTTTAATATAGTGCGTGTTTGTGTGGTTATGTGTGTATATGACTGTGCACGTTTACGCCCAAATATATTTGTTTTACGCGCTTTTACATTTAAGGCAATTAATTCATTTAGTGGAATTCTTAAGCGAATGCCATCAATTTGTACGATTTGACTAACCGAATTTGATTTAATTTGTATACATTTACAAAAATGGATCAAATCTTGTGACGGCGCGTTTCGTCTCTTATCAATTAAGGCACTTTTTCAAATGAAATGGCAAAATACTATTTTGTGATAAGATATTAAATGAAATAAAGTAAAAATATGGAACATTCAACATTTGAAGATCAAATATTTAGTGACTTCTCAGGACCTTTAAGTCCTTTAGGCAGTAAAGCCTTAGCGCCTACATCGTCGCCGTCAATGAGTGTTGTGCCACATGCAATGCATTCGGTTATGCTAAGCTTGCCTGCCGGTGCCACGGTAATGCAACATGGTAGCAATAATGAGTTATGTGGTCAGCGTTTACCGGACTGCAATACACTGCTTGCTTCCGGTTCGCCGAAGATGGATCCCTACAAGTCAAGCGATTATGGTCAGAAAATGGAATTTGTTAGCAAAATGGGTTGTTACTCGCCTACACAAAAGTTCGAATTTATAGCAACCGCTGGCAATAACAACCGTGACCATATACATCAACAATATTCGCCGCCACCCAATAATGGCCACCATAACAACAACAACAGTAGCAACAATAATAACGGTCTCGTCCCTAAACAACCAATGCATCATCACAATCATCACCATCATCACCACCATCCTAATGCCGCCGCTGCTATGCTTAGTGATTATCACACTTCTCTACACGCTCACAATAACGGCAAAATGGAGTATGAGTCACACGGCCAACATCCCCATCATCCCCATCATATAACAACGCACATGTATGGCGGTAGTCCTCACCATCATAATAACAACCACGAAATCATCAATAACGGCCTCAACGGTGAGCAAAGTATGACTTTGACCCCAAATGGATTAATTAACACCACCATACCCGGCAATGCGAACTCTGAAGGTGGTCTTTTGAATGGTGTTAATGGAAGTGGAATAAGTTCTGGGAACTCACCTCCCGAACCAAACAATAATAACCTAACGGCGGCAGTTAATGGCGTCAACCTTAACAACCTTAACAACTCCCCCTCGAATGGCATTAAGCTTAACAAAAACAAACAAGATGAACTATGTTCGAACCAAAACGTTGATAATGCAAACAGCGGCCCTACAACAGTTAACAGCAATTGCACTACAAGCAACAACAATACGCCACCGGCTGCGAAGAAAACTGACAAAAAAAAAGGAGATCCAAATGGAATTAAAAAAAAAAAAACCAGGTGAGATTTACATTTAAAAAAGCGATTCTGGCGTATCTGAAAATTCTCCCCTGACGACCTCCCATCTCCCTATACAGTACCAACGTTTCTCTGTAAAAGGAGTTAGCTTAATCATAATTATTATATAATTTATTTGCAGTTTTTTACCGTAAAGAAAAAGAAAAAAGAGTTTTTTGAGACTTTTGTTAAACCAACAATGAGATGATTTCCTTAACCGTTTCAGCCCAAAGATGAAACCTTTATATAAGTTGCCTTCAAAGACACGGATATGTCCTTCAAGTCAGAAAATATGCCTTTGGTTAAAAAATAGTTTGCTGGTTAAGCGTAAGCACGCCCTTTAGAAACACCAAAGTTTATTTTTAAACCCAACGGGACTACACTAAAAACGTAATGTTCATTCTTTTCATAATAAGTAATAATGCTTGAATATTTTATGAAATGGCGGCGAAGTCGATAAGCGAGCAATGCGTCCTCAGAACGATGTTCTGAAAAACGTTAGTTGCGCTAGTATTGAAAGACTTCTAAAATTGAAATTAGGTCGTAAATCTTTTTCAGATGACTAGTACGTTTATTTGAAATACATTTCTCAACCGTCTTTTTAATCTTTCTTGAAAAGCGTGGGATGCCATAGAAATTTAGCCAACTTCTTAACTTCTCTTAACTTCTCCTTGACAATAAGAAAATAATTTCATCTTCTCATTGCAGTTATTCTTCGAATAACAAAGTCTAAACAATCTAAATTTCGCATGTCTAGGGTATATCGTAAGGTCTTTTTAAAAGTATTGAAGCAATTTAATACCTAAATTTCTCCTCACCTAATTATTCAAATGGCCAGATTGCTAGAAATATAAAACTATGTAGAGCATGTACAGACTTTCAAACAACTTAAAAATCTCTGCCAGAGGGAACTTAGAATTTAGTCAAAAGCATTTTATTTGTAAGACGATCGAACGCTTCTTTTCCATTTAGAACTACATTCACTGCTTATCAACTGGAAGAGCTGGAACGCGCTTTCGAACGTGCTCCCTACCCTGATGTATTCGCCCGTGAAGAGTTGGCAATAAAACTAAATTTAAGCGAATCACGTGTTCAAGTGTGGTTTCAAAACCGCCGAGCAAAATGGCGCAAACATGAACCTCCACGCAAAACCGGATACATAAAAACTAGTACGCCACCCACTTCGACATTGAACAGTGCTTTGGCGGCACCGTTTGCCACATTTCCGCAAACCAGCACAGTTACACCTCCGGGTAGTATGGATAGCTGGACCAGTTATCAACCGCCATATGAGTTGAGCCCACAATTCAGCTTATTGTCACCGGCCGCCAGTCCGTACGGCACTTATTCCAGCCAGTATGGAACTTACGTTCACGAATCTCAAATATTCCCGATGCGTCATTTCGAATATGGAAGTCCCCCTAGAATCGAAATGACTACGAACGGTCCAGATGAGGCAACACAAAAGGTGCATGCAACTGATGCAGGTGGTTATGTAACGGGGCCAGGTTTGGTGGGGGATTTATCGGACGGCAGTACAGTTCAATTAGTACATCAACAAAATAGTAGCAACAATAACGCCGTCGCGAAGTATATGCCAACTGAAGAAGCTAAATATATAAGTGTTGGGGCTGTAACGCAAACTTTGAATGCAATTGATAGCAACGGTGCAAATGTTTGTCACATGAGTCAAGATCCCCAGCATCAACCACAACATCAGCAACACGATACGAGTGTAACAGTGTTAAAGCAACATCACTATGTAAACGTAGCGACACCGACTGGCATTGTCGGCGATGACGCCAATGATCCCAACCTACAAACTGTGATTAAAAGCGAAGACGGCGCAGGCCAACAACAACAGCAACAAAATGGCGGCGTTCCAACACACAGTTATGTGTTGCCGCCTTTTTTGCATTAAAAGAAATGCTCGCACATCGACACATTTGTCCTCATCGAACGACAACACCTATATTGCGTAAAAAATGGCAAACGCGCAAACAGCAACAATGGGAATGTCATGTGAACCAATTTTCGAAATCATAGGGGAGAATTTAACCAAAAAAAGAAAAATCGTAAGTCTCTTTTGAGTGCTGAGCATTTCTTAAATTTATAATAGTTTTCTAAACAATATTTTAACATAAGTTATTGACTTGTGCTTAGTTAATTTATGCAACAAAATCCTAAGTCTTACCAAAGCTTTATGTGTGCATTCCGCATATTTTATTTGAGTAAAGATAAAAGTGCTAATCCGTCAATAGTGATATGCAAGTAACTATTTTGTGTAAAGATGTAAAAATGCCAGCAATACAATCTGTTCTAGAGCCAGAGACCATGAAATTGAATTACATCTCAGATCCCTTAAATGCTAAGTCCACCTTTGCATAATAAGGGACCTTAAAGCCAGTTACGCACCAAATTATACTCTTTCCATTCTTAACATTCTATTTAGAATAAGATCGTTTCCCAAAAAAATACTTCAACAAAAGTGGTAAGTATGTTCTTCATTTTCTTGATAAATTCCAAATTTCTAGTTTTTTTATGATATCTTTTTTACGTCCGTTCTTGAACGAACTGTTTTTTAAATATCTTTCATTATTGTAAATTCTGTATTCTAAACTAAGAAGGGGGTCAAAAATCTGCCGATGACTAGTCAAAACAAAGAGTGATATATAAGCTCTCATATTTACATCATTGGGCCATTCATTAACGCTGCAACACTGGACGAACGAATTGACGAAATATTATACTTTATAAAAACGGACAATCAATTTCACTGAATGCAGTCATAACGCTATCTTGCATCCTGGGTATTGTCGACACATAACGCAAGAAGTTTCATATTGTTCATGTTAGTGAAATTTAAAAATTCCAGTAGACGCGTTGACGAACAGTCGAACGAACATTAATAATAATTAACACCTAAACCAAAAAAATATGCACACACCAATCCTTATGTAGCTTATGTAGCCGAAGTTGATTGTTTAAGTATTCGCATATCCCCCGATCTACAAATCATCGGATAAAGTGAATATCATAATACAACAAATTTTTACCCACCTAAAAGCTAAGGCTCGAGGAATGAATTTGTGAGCTCTAGCAGGAAAAAAATCTTGGAAAATTTCGTTTTTTAGACGTCGAGTACTTGAACATACAAGTATATTTTACCAGTCAGGTGAATAAATTACGTTTTCTATCGACGTCTTTAACATGGTTTTCAAATTCTTTCGAGACACAGATTATTAGCAGCAGTAAAAATGTTTTAAATTTTGTATATGGAAATTAACTAAAAGCTTATTTACTCAGAAGTAAACATTGCACGCAAATATTGCGGAGTTAATCAAGAATGCTGTATTGACCACAAATAACCGAGAAAGTTATTAAGCACATGAATATCAATATATGTATGTATTTAAAAAAATACAGATATTGCTCTGATGTTGCTCTTACAAGTGTTCCACGAATTCCACCTTTGTGGTGAGCTATTGAATGAGGAGCAATAAACTAATACTAACAACTTAAGCATTCAACGGCATATAACTCGAATCATCTAAAGTTTTTCTAGATTTTGTACGTGATTTGTATGGCAACTTCAATATCATTTTCAGTCGCGTTTACGTGGACGATAGATAACTTTTGTGCTAGCTACGTAAAAGTAGCGGAAGACGCAAAACAGTTGGTAGACCAGTGTACGTAGAATATTAAATAGAAAATAATGGGAAATGAAACAATTTACAGCATTTTAAACTTCTTTTCAATTTAAAAACAACTCTTTGGTTGCGTCTCGGTTTATTTTCAATTTATAAACAACTATTTGGTTGCGTCTCGGTTTATTTTCAGTTTATAAACACAACTATTTGGTTGCGCAATACCATAATCAGCTTTCTTCCCAGAAAAGAAAAAATATTAAATTATTTAGGAAAAGAATAATTTCGTAGAGATTCCGTGCCCTAACTCCCCTTATCCGTATATCACATATTTCTGGATGTTCCTTTACCCACTCCGAATTAAAATTTTCTAATACATCCAAACTTAAAGCATGCCCGCTATTTGTAAGAAATTGCTTTTAGTCCCCTTCATTCACATATGGCAGTAAAGTTTTATACGTCTCCTCACATAAATCTAAAAATTGAAGACTCTAACATACGACCAGAAAAGTATAGGATACAACCAGAAAAGCCTAACATACGACCAGAAAAGTATACATACATATGGACATTTTTTACATATTTAGAAAATAATGTTAGCAGCACAAGCTGCTGTTCTCCCCCTTGCTAATGTTTTTATTTCTATATTACAGGTGATTTGGGTATTTGGTATTTCGAACAGAGATAGTGCTTTGACTGAGTATTTTTAACAGAGATTGTCCTGATTGTGTTTTGTTTATGTAGGGCGCTAAATTATCCTTATGTTGTTTTGAATTAATACTTTATCGGCAAGCGCATTTAAAGCAACCAACCGTAAAGATCTCAGAATAGCTTCCGGCCGGTTCCCGAAATCGTAACATTCAAACACAGCTCCACTTCTAAAAAATGTGCTTATTTAGAAACAAATAAAGTTATATCCACCTGAATAAACATAATCTCTAAGCAAGACCTAAGAGTGGTAGAATATATTTTAAATAACTTTTCATTGAATTTTAAGTTGATCCCTGGAAATAGCTGATCCAAGTCTAAGTATAAATTGTATGCTTCTCATTCTTCTTCTGCAATTGTAAGTAATTTTGGCTAAAAAACGCATAGATATTCTCACATTGCATCTCTAATCCACCGTCCAACTCACAATGCAATTCTTAAAAGTTAAGTGTTCCACGAGTGCAAACCCCTGAATCGCGAAGAATGGATAACACTCAATCATAACGAACCTTTTTTTATACATATGTATATGTATATATGAATGAATAACGCTTTTTTTCAACACCTAAGTAAGCAACGAAGTAATTGCCATTAGTGTAACGCAATATACTGCTAATGACGTGACGTTCCTGGATCCGCTTTCTCTGACAAATAGGTTCTGCCCAGTTCTTAACCACAAGCCATCTGTCTTTTCCCACTAATATGTGCCACACGGTATTTTTCCGCGTAAGCAGTTTCCCAAAATTCGATCGAACTTCACTCCTCCTTTGTTCAATAAGAAGACTATAGAAAGACGCGTACCACGCGTTCTCTGGTACCACCCACCGCCTGAGGGCGAGAGTAACAGCATTGGATAGAAATCAGCTTCGCCATGGTTCTGCGAGAACCAGTCTTCAATTTCCGATATGGGACGAAGTGTGTGTCTTTCAGAGGCGTAGGCAGACATCGAGAAAAGCTGCTTAAGCTGGATAGCTTGTTGGACAATGTTCAGCTTCTAACTAGACATATGATACGAACAATAATGAAACTAATGAGAAGGCGTTGTGGGAAGAATGCAAGCGTTAGTAAAGTTGAGACAATTTTAAAAATACCGAATTGTGTGTGATCGTCCGATATGTATATGAGAAAATTCAATTGTCGAACAAAGAAATTGCAAGTTTCTATCAACAAAAACGGTTTAAATTAACTTATCGAAACTCATCTACATGCTTCTAGTTCAAATGTGATTTTATAAACATTACAAAGATTTCAAAAGAACACAATGAAGATTTTTATTGTTTTAGCTATTCTGAGAAAAGTTCAAAATGTAAATGTACGAATATTGACTACACTACTATTATAACTTATTAGTCTACAAAAACCATCGGCTCTTTTTGTTTGGAGTTAGACTAGCAGTGTTAAAAAAGTGTTATTGACATTATATTCCCCAGGTGCTTTCGACATGTCCACAGTCTTAAAAGTTCTGAAAACAAGCCTTTTCAATATTGGAAACGTTTTGGTATCCCAAAAATGCATGTCACATTTTGCCCACAATCCAAATTTTTTTGCACAATTGCCGATTTTTTAACGAAGTAGTATGACTAAGACGAATTCTTCAATAAAACGTCTTACGCGTGAACCTCCTGATAGACTTTCTTTGCGTTAAAATTTCGGAAAACTTTTCTTCTTTTTTATATCCTACATACACACCTTTTACTACTCCCCAGGCTTATGCTTATGCACAAGTTTGTCTCTCCATATGTCCCCTTGATGTCTGCCCATGCGTGCTTGTCTCCGAACTACACATCGAAATATATTTGGATATTTTCCTGAAATTTTATACAGGAACTTACTATGACCATTATTAATATCTAAAGAGACAAAGTAAATCAGTTGCATTACATAATAACATATATTATGCGTAAGGTAGAGTACAATAGAGTTCTATAACAAATAAGAAAGCACTTAAATCCTAATTATTACGTATACATATATATTAAATTATTATTTGATATATTTTTTATCGTTTATTCAATGCCAAAACTTCCTATCATTAGCTAGTAATCATTCAGTATGTGCACAGAACATCATTTTCAAAATCAGACGAACACTAAGATCGCGCTAACAAATGGTTACACGTAGGAATATATACGACAAAAAAGGTAAACTGTAACAACAACAATACGGAGAAACAGTCAAATTTTTCAGACGCTTCATTAAAAGACCTAAAGGCGGCTCAAAGTTTACGATTCAGCTCATAGTTGACACGAATTAGCGGCAACCTTATACTGGTTACTCTTAATCCCCTGATAGTACCTTGATAATAAACTAGACATCAGATCAAGTACGTCTACTCTCTAAAGTTAAAAGATGTGTAAGGTTAACACGACTCTCATAATTTCATTTCAAGCTACTCTAAAAGAGGTTTGAAAAAAAATTTTTGCATAGACTCAACTTGATCAACTTGGGGACTACACCGCAATAGAATTCTCTAACACGGACCTAAAAAGTGCTGTAAACAAGCTTGTGCTTCGTTAAATTCATAAGACCAACGCTTAATAAATCGCTTTATTAACGCCGGCTTAAATTTATATAAAAAAATTTATAAAAAAACATATATTTTATTTGTAAAGCTCAATTTTGAATCGAATACAAATCCAAATCAAGTGAAGTCCAACTTATACGTATCAATATGATAGTCAAGAACATGAAGAACAAAACATTAAGCGCTTCGCATTTTTCCCGATAAATGACATATTATTACGTTTATTGCACAAAAAATTCGGTTAAGTGCGAACGCACATATCTGTCATCCTCTAAGGTGTTAATAGAGTAAAATAACTTGACATCGTTTGCAAATATTACCGATTTTGAAGATTGTAAAAAGGATAGCAGGTGGGGTTAATGAATTAACTAGAAAGTAACACAGCCAAATGACTCCTCCGCAGAACACCAGATGTATATATAAATGCATTTACATGGCAAAAATGTACATTTTCGATATTTTATTAGTTTGGGGAAAAAGAAATCCATTATTTTTATATGAACTTCAGGACTTTATTTAACATGCTTCGTATTGTCCGATTTGGGTCAAATACGCACCGTTTTGTTGTATGATTTGTTGCCATTTTAAAGGTAACTTCAAAATGCCTCTATCATAGAAGTCCTGGTCTGTATTTGCAAAAAACTCTAGTAGTCGATTTTCACAATCCTCCCTAGATTCCAATTTTTTATCATTAAAGAAATTTTGCAATGCAAGAAAAAGATGATAATCGCTTGGTGCCAAGTCCGAACTGTATGGCGGATGCATTAAAACTTCCCAACCAAGCTCCCGAAGTTTCTGGCGAGTCACTGTAGATGTGTGTGGCCTAGTGTTGTCCTGGTGAAACACGACACCTCTCCTGTTGGCCAGTTCTGGCCGTTTCTGGTCAATCGCTATCTTCAAACGGTCCAAGTGTTGACAGTAGAGATCAGAATTTAGCGTTTGGCCATATGGAAGCAACTCATAATAAATAATCCCCTTCCAGTCCCACCAAATGCATAGCAAAACCTTCCTGGCCGTTTGAGGTGCTTCACCGCTCTTCGACCACGATCGTTTTCGCACAGGGTTATCGTATGTGATCCATTTCTCATCTCCAGTCACCATCCGTTTAAGAAATGGGTCTATCTCATTCCGTTTGGCCAATGCTTCGCAGAAGGAAATTCGATCCATCATGTTTTTTTCTGTTAATTGGTGTGGCACCCAAACGTCGAGCTTCTTTTTGAATCCAGCTTTGTGTAAATGGTTTAAAACTGTTTTATGGTCGATTTTTAGCTCCTGGGCGATGTTACGACTGCTAACATGCCGGTCAACTTGGATCATTTCTCCGATTTTATCGACATTTTCGACGACCGGCCTACCTGTGCGAGGTGCATCTTTAACATCAAAAATTCCTGAACGGAATTTACGAAACCAAAATTGCACATAATTGGCTGTTACAGTATCGGAACCATAAACACCATTCACAATTTTAGCCGCCTGGCTTGCATTTTCGCCTTTGTCAAAGAAAAACTGTAAAATGTACCGAATTTTCTCTTTGTTCACTTCCATTTTTAAGACGCTGTAACTCACAACTGAATGCACCAAACAAAAAACAGCAAAAGAATTTTTTTTACTGAGAAATGTCACCTTTCCAACGAGCATATATATGAAATTGTTTGATCGATACTTTACGAGAAATCTATCAGTGCAGCCATCCACCGAAAAAATAATGGATTTCTTTTTCCCTAAACTAATATAAGCAAAATTGGTTCATAGAGTAATTTGATGCACAATTTAACTGAATCCAATTTGGATGAGGTGGGTCTACTTTTTGGACATCATCCCGTATAAGTATTCTCAGGAAAAATAAACGCTTATACCACAAAAAGCTTCAAATTTTAATATTGTGTAATGAAAATTGATCCGTAGTAGCAATATGGCATAAAAAAGGAAGTGTAAGGAATTTTGATTGGTACATTATAGGTGGTTTAATGAGATATGATTAAAATCCTACCATAAGAGCAAGTTCTTCCAAAACGGCAAGGTGTACTTTGTAATTTTTATGATGGACGCAGTTGAAAAGTAATAAAATCTTTGAAAAGTAAATTAAGTTTCTCAAATTTGGACACGGTTGGACGACGTTTTGAATACTACCTACAATGTCATGGCTTTCATAAAAGCATACCGATACATAACAATAATGTATTACTATTGGTGTATTATCACAAAAATTAATAGATGATTATATTAGTCGATGTGGAGCATGGTATCTAATAATCGGCCTTAAACTCATTTTAGAACCAGATCCGGCAATCACAATGAATACAAATTTATTTAACAACGACAGTATTAATAATTAATAATTGATCACTGGCGCAATTGTTGTTAATTCTTGCGATTCGAAAGAATTCCTTAGCGCTCGTTTCTTGTACTGTTTCCTTTTGCTTTTCCAGTATCTGTTGCATTAAATGCGCTTGATGTGCAGCTTCATCAACTTGCTCGGCGTTTTTATTGCTTTTTCGACATAACTGTCCGATAAATTTTGCACTGCTCGTAGAAGTGATGCAATCAATAAAAAATCATTTATATCATGGGAGCATATTTATTTCCATTCTCGTTAATGAGTGCGACTCGACAAAATTGCTTGAAGGACTAAGCAGAACGAAACCCTTCAATAACAAATCGAAAGTTACGCTTTGTATATTTCAATTATTTATGACCCTCTTTGGTGAAATGAAAAGAGGAACATGAATGCAAAGGCGCCAGCATGCGAAATCGTTGCTTAATTCATAATGTTATACAAAGGTTTACTATAAAGCCAATTCTCATCACTATTGACGTATGCACTCGATTGTGGCGTACTCGCTAATAATAATTATTATTAAGTTTTAAGTAATACCATCTAAGAACAAATTGTATATATATATATAAATTAAATAAAGCTGCATTCCGTTTGTGCCTTAATTAATTATATTTAAATATGATAAAAATATAAAAAAACATCAAACTGTTCTGTAATGACAATAATTTATTTTTATTTAAAAATAAAAAATATCGCATCGTTAGAGCTCGTGTGTATATAATAGAGTTTAAGATTTCTCTAATTTACATCAGAATATTTATTTCTTTTAAAAGACATATTCATATAGTTAAGCTATCTTTTCTCCAAAAAGAAAAACGTAACTAAAAAACTAGTTTTCTAATTAATTGACTAATATTAATGAAAACACACACTTCCTTGCAAAAGTAATTACAGTTTAATGATTATATTTTCAATTATTGTTAATTTATATTCAACAAAACGCCGAACATAATTATAAAAATAAAAACAAAAAATCCTTCGAAATATATACATAAAAAAATAAATACATTTCACTACTGCAAATAATTTGCCATTTCCTGCCAATTTGTTCCTTCAAAGAATTTATGATTTTTTATTTGTTCATAATCGATGCGTTCCTCAGGAGTTTTATCTAAAAGTTTCTCCAACAAATCCTGCGCTGATTCGCTTACTTCTACATTCTCTGGATATTGAATTGAACTGTACATATCTATTTGTCCCGGATGAGCATATTTAAAAGGCTAAAAGGAAATAATGAATTTTTAATTGTCGTAAACTCGTTCTAAATATGTTCAATAACAGTTAATTTCCCTTGCATTTTGTTTCTTTGTAGTGTTTGGTTTTCGTTTTTTTTTTTTTTTTCAATTATTTCAAAACACAGTAATAGGCTTTAATTTAATATATTAAAACGTAGATTAGAGTATTTTTTTACGATTTTCAAAGAACGTTTATCGAATCCTCTAAACAACAAATACGAAAAATATTACATTGTTACTTCACATATTTGACCTGGTTTGTCGGACAAGGGGAAAATCTTCATCAGATCGAACATGTAGGGCATGGGTGAACGTGTTAGGCTAAAAAGTAAATTGCTAATTATAGGAAAAAGCCTGCACCGATTTAAATGCGGAATAATAAGCATTACATAGACAACATCCTTGCCGCACCCCTAAAGGAACAGCAGAATTCTTATGCGAGGAGGAATCAACTGTTGATACTATAAGCAAGCACAAAACGATATTACATCGCAAAAATTGCGAAGTAGTGTAATTAGTGTGTCGATTTGTCGCTTGGAAACATTTACATCAGGCCCAGCTTTCCGTATAATTGTTTGTATCAAGATTAGCGGTAAAAAAAAAATACAAATTATGTATATGCTACTCACCAGCCCAAGCAGTATTTCGTAGAGTATAATACCATAACTCCACCAATCCGATTTAAAACTCAAAGACCGCTCAGGTGCTACAAAATGTCCACCCAAAGCAACTGAATTCACGGCCTTGTGTACATAGCTGTTAGAGCACAGGCTTTCGTTTTGATAGAAATACGTTAACAACAGCTGTCCCTTATCGCCTAACAATATGTTATTACTATGCAGGTCTCTGAAATGAAATATTACTTAAAAAATTATTTATCTCTATTTTGAAACTAGTTTGAAAATTACCCTAAAATAATGCCCTTCTCATGCAGGCTATGTATAGCAATTAAGAGCTCTCGAGCCCATTGTTTAATTGAAGCTTCAGGCAATCTAAGCAATTTGTTGTTTTGAATGTTTAAAGGTTCGTCGCCATGATTTTTAATTGCTGGTGCTAGCTGCGAATCACCTGCTTTATCCACGCTTTCTTTTAAAGTATTTAAAGTATGGGCAACTGATTTTAACAACTGTTTAGAATTTTTAACTATGTCTTCTATCTCCATGGAAGAATTTCCATTTTCCTCATCTCTTCGGTTATTTTGAATATTTTCATTATTTAGTTCCGGAAATAGTTTATCCATGCTTTCTGATTTTTTACAATTACTTTCATAATTGTGAATATAATCCAACAATCGCCCTCCTTGAGCAACTTTAAGTAAAAGGAAGATTTTCTGCTCGTTTTGGAAGAAAGCTACTAAGTCTACCATATTTCGTATTTGTTGTGGTAAAAAGATACTTTGTGTCGGCGAATTACTTGACGGCTTCTCTATACCTTTCATTACGTACTGCGGTTTCTGCATTTCAGTTATACATTGCACAAGTAATACCTTCTCACCCAACACGCCTAATACCTTATACTTGGCTACATGATTCCACGGCCTCTCTAGATAATAGCTTTTTGTGTTAACATCGGCACTGCCGCCTACGTCAATAGTTAATTGTACATTTCCCAATGATGGCCAGCTGACAGTTCTATTAGGATTTAAGAATTTCTCTTTTATATCATCTGCCCTTGCTAAATATTTAATTATTTTGGATTTGGCTATAAATTTACGCTCCTTATTGTTATCATCTTTAGAACCCGCTAATAAAAAATCTACGCCCCGTTTATAAAGGGTATAGGCGTCTGAATACTCATGGTTGACTTCAGCTTTTACAGCGTGACTTAATACCAGAGCTGCTTCGTATATATAATCACTATCATCGCTTTCTATGGAAGCCATAGACGTAAGACATGACGTCCCACTAATCTTTTCAATACTGACATCGTTATCGTCAGTATTTTTAGCTTTATTTCTTGTATTATCAAAATAAGCGTTATCTGCTTTTGTTTTGACTTCCGCCCCAATTCCTATGTATCGCATATCTTCTATATCAATAGCGGATTGAATTTTGTTTACGTTTACATTTTGCTTCGGCTGGATAGTAGGTATACGTCTTCTACACTGAGGTTTTGAAGAAGTTACTTCACTAAAAAATTGAGCAAAAGCGTGACATTTGTAAAGCGGCGGATGCAATGCGACAAAATCTAGTAATTTTAATATGTACTCTTTTCGCTTTTGTATAACATCAGCATCGAACCGTTTAAAGTAACTGCAGTCTGCATCTGCAGGTTCAGGAAGCTGTCCAGTTAAACCCTTTTGCCATTTTTTCAGTTCGCGATGCAGGCGCTTTACGTCATGAAAACGTTTCCACACAAATAAACAAGTCAATGCTTTAGGCTCAGAACGAGGAAATACCTAAAAAATAAAACATAACAAAATAAATCAATTGTAGGAAGCTAAAAAATTTTTTTGCTAGGAAAACTTGCAATTGAAGTAATCTTGTAAACAGTATATCCTCCCTTATGAGTTTGGTGATCAGTAACCGCAAAATTATGTATCCAACCACCTGAATTCATATTGGTAATGTGCGATTAAGAAAATAAAAAATCATTCAATGCTTTCATTTTTATAATGATGCAAACGACAACTTGTAATGATACAAACACAAGCCACAAGTTAGCCAATCAGCTGATCAAAACACAAACCAAATGTATGGAATATATCCCGCCATCATCAACTCATTTGTTATTAGCATTGTCGGGTGGTTTGTAGACGGTAACAATTTATTATATATATTAATTTCCCATCATTCTTCCTCTTTCTTATACACAATCATTTCGTGATGGCTTCTATGTGAAGTCGTGTGGTTATTTCACAAAATTAATTTTCATTAAAAAGTACGACTAATTTATCTTTTCTCAAAGTTGGTTGAATCTTCTGTTCCTAATAAAGTAAAAAATATAAGCAAAAATTAACTACGAAAATACACGTATTCGATTTTTTGAAATCGAGATGTATCGAGACCACACTTTACAAACACCGTGTTAAGCACTTGATATCTGTATATGTAGGTTTGCGTCTTGCAGAATGGTAATGGATTGGAATAAAATCGAAAATTACAACCCTCTGCAAAGATTCTTCTTCTTCTATTTAGTAATATCAAGTATGTACAGTGCAGGGATGTTGCTTTTTTATAGAATGTTTGTCGAATTTTTGTATTCGTTTATAATGCGCATAGTTTAATCTATGGTTTGCTTTGATTATTTCATTTCCCATTCCCTTGAAGTTTTTATTTTAAGTCTCATAATTCTTTGCTCTTTATTTTCATAATACCGTTCTTCGTTTTCTTCAGTATGCACTAACCAACCGAACTGGTAAAAGCAAAATTTTTCACTGGATGGACAGCACAAAAGGCAGACCAAAGTCCTTTTCTTCGTTACGAGCATGCCGTATATACGATATAGCCATAGAATTTATTTATTTTTATTATCAAATTAAACGAAGCCTTCGCTAAATTCCCTGTTAAAAGGCAGAGTTGCTTGTAATAAATAAAAAAAAATAGTCAAAAAATGGCAGCTCTGTTAAATGGTTAAATGCTAAACTTAACAACTTAAATGGTAACGTCATTCAGTCTGTTAAGCTGTCCAATAATAAAATAAATACAATAAATAAATACAATACAATAAATACAATAAACTTCGAGTATTAAATACTAATTATTAACTTTTAACAATTAAATACTAATTATTAACAATTGAATTTTTTTGTATCGTTTTACCTAAAATAACAGCCCTGTGCTCTAGAGTTTATTGTTAATAAATAATGGAGGACTTTTGCCGACGGCTTTGCAAATTAGTATAGAGTATTACGTTATTTCTGTAAATTAGCATAGAGTATTACGTTCGCTCTGTTGTTATATTGCTCCCATTTTCAAATTAGCATAGAGTGTTCGCTCTGTAATTGGAATAGAGTATTACCTTTTTTCTGTAAATAGCATAGACTATTACGTTCGCTCTATAATTAGCATAGAGTATTAAGTTCGCTCTGTAATTAGCATAGAGTATTACGTTCTTTCTGTAATTGCAAGAATAATTTAGCTACTGTTTTGTTTAATTTGATAATAAAAAAAAATTATGGCGGTTTACTTTTAGGCTAACTTGTAAAATTAAATAAGTTCAGTTCGCGTATTTTCCAAAACACTAAATACATGAAAACAAGGCGACCAAGTCAAGGAAAAAGAATCGAAAACAATCAGGAAACCATTAAAAAGAATAACAATTTCTTTTATATATATATATATATATATATTTATATATATATTAATTATGTATTTTAAATGTATAATAAAGCAATTTACAAAGGGACACATCTGTTAAAATTTATCTTGAAAGATTGAACACGGGCATCGAGCAGCTGATTTGCCAACTCGGTCACTCAGGTGGTTTTTTGGATTTTTCATCATAATCACGAATTTCATATAGTTTGTATTGTTAAATAACAATTTGAAATTAACTTACTTGAGCGGGCAATAATTAAAATGACCAATTGGATTTAACGAAGTTCATCAGGCCATTTGTGGAAGAATCATGATGAAATATCAATTCTTTATGTGTCAATTCGGGCTCAAACCTTTTCGGCAATTGTTTGCCTAATTCAACACCCCATTGATCAAATGAGTTTATATCCCAAATAACATATTGTGTAATAGCTCCCTGAAACTGTATCGGCCGGATATCTACCTAAATATCTCTGAAACGGTTGTCTCATTTCTGGAAAGACAGCTTGCTAGTATGCTGGCAACTTAACGGATTACGGAATAATATCGTAATTTACGGCCACTCAAAGGTATGGCAGCTCCGTTAACAAACCACAGAAGTTAAAAGCCACACTACAAAGCAACAAGAAAAGTACAACTAATAGGCAACTGTCAAAATTTAAAATTCTGCCTTTACTCGACGAAAGGTGCAAAAGAGATAATCAGAGTCGAGCTATTTTAGGTGCGGCCATATTGATTGTAGTATGCTACAAAGAACGAAAAAACAGTGTGACGACGATTCTATGCAAATCGAAAAAAGCAGCGGCGGCGTAAAGACTACGGCAATCATCGTTCACTTCTAATATAAAAAAGTGTGTATATTTGTTGTAAAAATTTGATAAATTAAACGAGAAATAGAACCGAAATTGGGAAATAAATCAGTGGACTCTTCTGTATCAAACATTAAAAACATATAAGTGTTTAAAAGGAGTCCGCAACAATTTCCTTTGTCTAGATAAAATTTTGTGGAAACCAAAAAAGAAGAAAAAAAAAACACAAAGAACTAACCCACTCGGAGATAATTTTTACACAATGTCCGAACGTGAAAATAATGTTTACAAGGCTAAATTGGCCGAACAAGCAGAGCGTTACGATGGTAAGTGAAAAAATGATAAAAGTAGTTGAAAAGTAAAGTAAAGAACGGGTAATATAAGGACGCCGTTTCGAGTCTAAGTCTACTTGAATTTGCTGCTGGCGTCTTTTTCTAATGCGTCAGCGTCATATTAAAGTGTGATATGAGCAAATTTGATGGACATTAACAGAAAAATCAACAAAAACTCGTCTCACATCTCTTTTGCCGGCGATTTCCAACGTGTTTGTCTGCCTTCTACTTCAAATTTTTTAAATATTATAATTCGAAAAGGGCACAGGGGCTAATTTGGAATAATGGATGTAGGCAGGAATGGATTTCTATTCGGTATTTTCGGGGGTGTGGAAAATTTTACCAATAAGCATTTAGGGTGGTGTCTAAAATTCGTCTCCTTTTTTTTCATGAAAGAACAAAATAAGCGCAACATTTTCGTTAAGAAATCTTTTCTAACTAACAATTAATTCATTTTGTTTAAAAGTATAACAAAATTTGTAAAAATGTGATTTCTTTTAGTGTGTAAATCATATATAACGACTAGCGATTTTTATATCGAAATCTAAGCTCTTTCATGCGCATCATAGTAATGTTCATTAGCATCACGTTGGCGTGAGCAGTTCCACTATAGGCTTTTCTAAAAATTTGTTAACTCAGTGTTTGTTGATTCGTCTCTTCCACATAGCTAGCCAGTCAGTCAATAAATTAGTTTGCTTTTAAAGTATGCAACTCTCTCCTTACTTATGAGTATGTGCGTGTTGTGTGCGAGTGTTGCTTGTGGTACATACTTGCTTCTGTTACAGACATCGGACATAGCAAGCGCGAAAAATCGATGAATGAAATCGATCGTTGTTGTTCTGCGCGTTGACAACTGCTGCAACTATACATGTGTGATATATGTATGAAAACAGAGTTGCCAACGTTAATTATACTGATAAATAAATAGCGCATTTATATCGTAGAATGTTTAAAGGCACTTTAGTGAGATCGAATTTTTAATTATTATTTTCATATATCGCATAAGCTTATTATAGTTTTTGGGTTAGCTCTCATAAATTTATTTCAAGTGAATATCAACTTGTTTTTGTTAGAAGTGAGTTATAAATAGATGTGTACTGCTTAAACTATAGCGAAGTGGCAATCATTTGGTTTCTTCGCATTACTCATACTCTGCAGTTAATTATGTGTAGTGCAAGTTGTTGTTGCTGCAATCTTTAAAATCTTTGTTTTCCTCGTTGCAGATGCACTCTTAAGCTTCTGTGCGTTTTAAAGCGAAGCTGCAGATTAATGAAGATTTCTAATGTCACTTGTACACTACACTTCACCACTTGTTTTGCGTTTGGGAGAAACGTACAAAAAAGTGCAACAATTATTAGAGATGCTTGATGCTTTTGTTGTTCTCGCCAAATTTTACATAAAAAGCATCGAAACAATTAATTGGCCTGGAAGAGATTTATATTATTGTGTATGGTGGGCAGTTTGCCTGAACGCTTCTTTTTTCCTTAACCATAATGTCATGTTCGATTTGAGCTATTAGAGTTGTCTCGCTCGATCTCGAGCAAAATAGCTAAAGAAAAAGCAGTAATTTATTGTTTGCTGATGTCTCTACAGCTACTGCACGAACCACCATCTCATTACACATTTTATATAAGCATCGTATACTTGTTTGTGTCTGTTGATGTTGTTTGTTCTTACGTTACGAGCGGCCGGTGGTGGAGAATACGTTTGTATATTTATGTCTATATTTTTGCTACTGGTTTGTCTGGCAAATTCTTTTTTTTTGGCCGTGCAATTGACTGGCATACAATTTGTCAAATATTATGAGAAATGCGCGCGTTTTGATTTTCCCCTTTTTCTCGCTTGTTATATACTTTGACACGTTACATCGCTCTCCATCTCCTCGCCGATATTTAACGTTGTTCGGAAATTAAATTCCTTATGGAGAATGTGTTTCTTTTTCGAGGCCGCTTGTTTTGTCGTTCTATTCAAACAACTCTCGCCCATGTCGTCGTTTGCTTTCATAGCTTTTTTTACCAGTTAAAGGCAGTTGAATGTAGTTTTCCTTATACACCTTCGTGTGTATGTACAAATAATATTAAACTATAATTGTGAAGATTGTTCTAGTAATCTTGTCTGCTTAGTATGCTTGAAAAGTTACTCTTTATTTGATTAAACATATATTAGAAATGCGCATGACTTTTTAATTGTACAAGAAATAAGTTTATCCTTCGGTATACTTAAGCATACTTTTGTAGTTATTAAGGAAACTCTTAACCTGTCTGGCAAAGTTATTTTAATTATTCAAGGAAATACATATAAACAATAATTGATTGGTGCAACGAGTTTCGAAGCATTTACCTGTAAGCACACATTCGCATTGCAACATAACACGGTTGCTTATTTCAGAATATAGCATTAATTAAAATAAACATTTCAAACATTTATTACAGTTATTCCTTTGCGGGTATTAGCCGAGCCGAGCATTGTCACAGTGTTTTCATGAAAGAACATTTACTTACTCTCTAAAGTTGTGAGATTCGAAGTTTGCTCATTTACTTACTCTCTAAGATTGTGATACAGAAAACTATGAACAGATGAATAATTCTGTTCGTCTTTATGACAAAGATTTAGCTCTATTCTCAACGGTATTTTTTTACATATGAAAGATTGATATATAATGGAAAAAAACCCATATCTTAACCAAGTTTGCATATAAAACCAATAAATGTTTGCATATGGGGAATTAGGTAAAAGCATAATTTTCTCTGCGCATCTTTGTTGATAACTAAATTTTCCCACAAAATATCCCAGCAGTACACCTACCATTAAGTTAGGAACTGCTCCATACCGTATGTTACCGTAGGCTAGAATTACAAAAAAAAAATCCATTTAGAATGTAAACAACTAAGAAAACAATGGTTTTTTAGATAGTAATACTGTTTTGTATGTATGCTAGACAACAATTTAACGGGCAGTTAATATGCAACCTACTTGAGGATCGATCATTAACTTGGTGCCGTTTCGTCGGTTTTTTGGTGTTTTTTCAAGAATTTTTCCACATTTCCAAACATTTAAACATAGTGTTTTTCAAATTGTGAGAACTGGAGACGCGTATAGATACCATTTGTTGTGTTAATTACTTTCTCTGCTTGAAGGCGGAATCGTCGGAAAAAACCCGCACAGTTGATTTGATTTGTTTGTATATATGGAATAGCTTCCTCTCTAGCTTTGCTTCGACGTGACGTCCATTTTCTTTAAATTGATTGACGTAGTAGCGATTTTTTCGTTTTTATTTTTACTTAATATTTCTTTAATAGTAATAAGACTAACAACAATTTGCAAGATTAGCAACAGCAGAAGCTGGTATCATTCGGCCAGTGCTTTCACTCTTGTACTTCAGTGCGCAAATCTACCAACATCTAGCCCGCTGTATTTTGTAGCTTCTGAGTCAAAAAGGGCATTTTGAGCATAAGCGTGTTTTTATTTAACATATCTCTCCAAAGCATGTCTTAAATATCTTCTAAAGGTAGAAAAATTACACCATTTCAGATTAAGGCTTCGAGGTTAATTTTTTATAGCAAATTCTCTTTTGTTTCGAAATTAAGTTGTTTCTTTAGACACTTTGAAGGCATAATCATGGCTCCAATAGACCACAAAATAATTTATTTTTACCAACAGCGTAAACATTTAATTTGTCTAGTACCGCGTTCAAGGAAATTTTTGTTGCTTTTTGTCAAAATAAATATGGATTTCAAATAGTTAAGACCTGTGGAATTTTAGAAGAGAGAGAGAGAATATTAAAGGCAGTGAAAAATAACTTGTTTTCTTCAGACCTATCTTGGTAATCATTATGTTTGAACAATTACAAAAAATAGAGCTCTAAAAATTTTACATTCCAAGTTTGATTAGAAGCCAGGAAAAGATGTGAAGTTATTCAGATAAGCACAAGACATACATTGACATTCTCATGTGCTTATTTTTAGTTTATCATTGTCAATTTTCGTGTTCATTAGGATTTTTTCTACTGTAATTGATTTCATACTTTCTTCACATACTATAGGCAAAACTTGCAATTATACCAAATGTGTATATGTGTCCAATTTTTATAAATCTTATGTCGGTAGGTGTTACTGAAAATGTTCTTTCCATATGAATTGATTACAGTTAAAAGCGAACTGAGATAGACGGGGAGATATCTATGTATTTATTGCATTTTGCCAACAACTCTCTTGATGCCTTGTTGTTTTAATTTATTTGCAATTGTAAGCGGCTATTGATTATTTTAACTGTTGCAACCATAATGACCATAATGAAAAACTTTTCATGTCGTCTATGTCAGAAATAAAATATCATGTTTTACGTTTTAATTGTGATTATTTTAAAAAAGTTGTCCCCTTCCTTGTTGGGTAGTAAATGTCGCCGGATGCATTAAAATGTGTAGATTGCGGCCGCAAAAAGTTTGCCCTCGTTTCTTGATTTTTTTTTTTTTTCTCAGACTCTATTTCGCTGTTTACTTGAATTAATTTTGGCCCACGACATATTTTGCAATAGTACGTTTTACGGACGTTTTAAAAAATTTCACCTGATTTCAACCTCCGGTAGCCGACATCAATGTTTCTTTTGCCGTTGACGTTTACATTAGTATGCCAGATTTGTCATTTTCTTGCCAACTTTCCAAATATCGTTGAACGTTTGGAAATGATTGAATCGTTAACGTAACAAATTCACGCTTACCTTTAAGGGGTCAGTTCAAATTTCTTCAAATTTCTTTAAAATGCTTCTCTTTGAATTTCTTTGCCTCATACATCAGTTTGTCGTTGATTTCAAAACGTATATAGTTACACCAAACACTTCACAATGAGGCAAAGTAGCATATAGACGATGTCTTGGCGCCGCAGGATATATCTGCTATGTTTGCATTAAGTAGCCCATGTTGTGTATCAAATTGTGTATTAAATGTGTATTGCTGGTTGTACGCAAAAATTCGTTTGGCGAAGGAAACAAAATAAAATAAAATTTTAATCGGAAAAAAATGTGTGATTATATTATGTATACTTTGCTATTCGGATTTTTTTCTTAAGTTCTAATATTGTTAATATTCGTTTTATATAGAAATGGTTGAGGCCATGAAAAAGGTTGCCTCCATGGATGTGGAATTAACCGTTGAGGAGCGTAACTTATTATCGGTAGCCTATAAGAATGTAATTGGAGCCCGACGTGCCTCTTGGCGTATTATTACTTCCATCGAGCAGAAGGAAGAAAATAAGGGAGCCGAAGAAAAGCTCGAGATGATTAAAACTTATCGAGGCCAAGTAGAAAAAGAACTACGCGAAATATGTTCGGATATACTGAATGTTCTTGAAAAACATCTCATTCCATGTGCCACAACCGGCGAAAGCAAAGTATTTTATTACAAAATGAAAGGAGATTATCATCGTTATTTGGCTGAGTTCGCTACCGGTTCGGACCGCAAAGATGCTGCCGAAAATTCATTGATTGCATATAAAGCAGCCAGCGATATTGCCATGAATGATCTGCCGCCGACACATCCCATACGTTTGGGGCTGGCTCTTAATTTTTCGGTAATATTTTCAAGTGGAAGTAATTTAATGAAAAGAATTCAAGTACATCTGTTGGTAATTTTAAAGGTATTTTATTATGAAATTCTCAACTCGCCTGATCGCGCTTGCCGATTGGCGAAAGCAGCTTTTGATGATGCCATTGCCGAATTGGATACCTTAAGCGAAGAGAGCTACAAAGACTCTACCCTAATTATGCAACTGTTAAGGGATAATCTGACATTATGGACGTCCGATATGCAAGCCGATGGTAAACGTCATTGTTTAAAAATTTTTTATACGATTTGTTTTAATTATTTCAATATTACTTTATTGTTTGGTTAACAGGTGATGGCGAACAAAAAGAACAAATTCAAGATGTCGAGGATCAAGATGTGTCGTAATTTAAGTAAACTCCCCCAACTCCACAAACCTTCAAATAAAACAAAATAATACTGTATGCATTTCTTACTTTTAAAAAATTGTGCTCCTATTACGATTACTGCTCCTTTTTATTTCTCTCTCTCTCTCTCTCTCTTTCTCAATCTTTGTCTTGCTATTTTCTTTGTCCTTCTTAAACAAAATTTTCTTTAATTTCGGCCACAACCAAACCAAATCACAACCAAACGCCCACCACCTACTGCTACGGCTGTTGGCCTAATCCTCAACAAGCAGCGTTTTAATAATAGTAATAACAACAATAACAAGAAAAAGAACAAGCAGCATATTTTTTTTGTGTAGAAACTACATCCATTCAAATGTATATCAGTTGCTAATCTCCTTACCCACTTCACCCATTTCTCAATTTAATACCGATTAGTTGCTACCTCTCACAGATGTTTGTTTTTCCAAATTCGTTATTAATTTCGAAACCTTGTTGCCCAAGTCTCTAATCACCATCAAACACGCCCATATTTCAATGTGTGAAAATTTTTGCATTAATACACATAAATATAATATAACAATTATAAAACAAAATATATATATATTATTAAAGCAACAACCACAACAAAAACAAAAACATCAGAATAATAATAAAAAGAAAAAACAAAACAAAAATTAATAAATAAAAACGGAAAATAATTTTTTTAAACGAATCGATCGATTTAAGCAGCAGCAAAAACACGTGGAACACAATCATTATAAAACGCCAACAACAACAACAGCTACAACATATTACTTTCGTTAAGCGAACGTATGCTACGGCATGCTCTACAACAACCAGCACACAAAATAATTTAGAAATAAATTACACAACAAATAAAGAGTAATATTTATAATAATATTAAATAATAATAAAAATAAAAAAGATGAAGGAAAAACTTGATAATTCTCTTAATTTTAAGCAAAATATGTATGAAAAAAGAAATACAATCGGCAAACACCGATACACTTAAAAAGTTAAAACAAAGAAAAAGGGTAAAAATCAGCTAAATTAATTAATTATTAATATCAACAATAAAAAGAAGCTAAATATAAATTCAGTAGAAAATATTTCACATTTTCTACTACAGCATACATAAATATATAAAAAATATAAATATTACTTTAAAAAAAGAAACGAACCCCACAAAATGTGAATGAAAATTCGTCTGAAAAGATTTTTTCCCCTATAAAAACCAAGGCACAATTTATATGATAATCTTTCAAACGTAGAGATGATCTGATCTTCACCACAAGTTGTTTAATTAATGTAATTCTCTCGGGCTTAAGCTTCTTTGACGTTAAAACGCAGAAGTTTTCTAAAGCAGCTGTTTTTCTATAAAACTTTGCGAAATTCATTTCTTTCCTGTTTCTAGTTTTAAATAATCCTCTTAAATTCTTTCTCCGTTTCAGTAGCTTATAGTAATGAGTTAGTTTTTGTTTTGTTTACCAAAAGGAAAAAAATAAGTAAAAATGGTAGAGTGTTGTATTTAAAGAAACAAAGCTTAGAAACTACATGTTTTTTGTTTCTCAACTCTTATCCACAGGCGCACAGACACGAATATACACATCGACATATATATACACACAGGCACTTACAAACTTGTTCACCTACGACAATAGGCATTCCCATACCGAACCGATATATACAACACCCTACACGCACATGAAGTGAAATCTAGAGCAACGTATCATTTTGATCATAAGAATATATATTTAAATAAATAAAAAAATTCTTTTTCCAATAAAAAAAAAACTAAAAACACAAAAACTATACATTAGTTTTTATTAAGGCTTTGTCACATTCATTTATTGGCTAAATATTCACCAAATAACCTACTGGCGAAAAGCTTGTTAACCAAAGAGCTTTTGTAATAGAGTTCCGGCTGTGCTGCGCCGATCTTGATCTCCATCATTTTCAGCGCGTATTGTTTCTGTCCTTTATCAACATGCCTTCTGTCCTTTATTGCTGTCAACGATCAACAAAATATTTAAGAATCGTCAGTTTTTAAAGAAACAGAAGAATAAAGTGAATGTGGAATCATTATTCTTTCAAGTCGCATCGTAGAATAGCAAATGGACTCTCTATCAAATACTTTATATTTACTAGGGTCGACTACGGAAAAGCTTGTTCTCAGTACGTTGTGTTCTTTGTACAGCACGTATGACGACTAAAAAGGAGCTTCAGGTTGGCTTCACTACGCTCTCCTGATTGCCGAAACTGTCGAACTTTTTCTGGGAAAGCTTTTCTTATAAAAATGCGGTGGATGTGCTTCCCGTGTAACGGTCGTTCCCTCGTTTATTTAAAGGCCTCTTAGACATGCTTATAACAGAACGTGGGCAGATCAAAGGTTTTTTGGACCTAATAAAACAACATGTACTCTCTTACACATCTTTATTTGTGATTTATATGTTCCATAAATTGATGTAAACTTTGAGCGTGCTTCGTATTGGTATCCTTCGTTAAATTATAAATATTTTCAATTGCTTTTATAATACGAGGCTTAATATAAAAAACGAATAAAATTTAATTTATTGCGAATGCTATCTTTAAACAATACATTACTTACAAAATGTTTTACATCCAACAGGGATTCATGTTTTCTAGCCAATAACCATAAATTAAGGGCTAATTGGAAAGTCTGTTCTTTGTATAAGTTGGCATAACGTATTATACGTAACATCAATTCTAAAGATAAAATTGTTTGCATCTTATACTGTTGTTCTGCACCCAATTGTTTTAATTGCTGCAGAATTTTTTCCACTACATAAACACATAAATTATTAACTTCGTTTAGAAATTTTGGATCACGACCGTACAATTCATCATTGGATATAACTATAAATAACTAATTAGTTTAATCTTTTATTGCAACAATAAAATAAAGCGTTTACCTCCTGTTATATGATAAGGAAAGTCCTCTAAACTTTGCACATATAACATATCCAAGACGTTTAAATATACAGTAACTGGTCCGAGGGAATTTGCGGCAAAGGAAAATTTCTGTATAACATCAAGTAAAAGGCGTAATAAATATAAAACTCCTTCTTCTGGACTATCGGGTACTACAACCAGCGTAGCCAACATATTGCTTAAATATGAGACTACATAAGAATCCATGGGTTTCACTTTACCATCTATTTCTAATGCAGTGGGTAATTCAGCTATTAAATTTAAAGCAGCCTCAAAGCAAGCATCAGCTGAAATTGTGCAAAGATAACATTCATGAGAGGACTTATGGCGATCACCTTCATATCAAGCTTTTTCATTAATGTGTTCGCCAAACTTTGTTTTAACCGTAGTAGGTCAGCCGACACAAAGTTTAAATTGCAAAAATTTCGAAAATATGAATCGGGCATAGCTGATGCACTGATCAATAATGAACGTCCTTCATCTGATTCTCAATATTTTGACTGACAAAATTGATATATTTCATATTTCAATGGCAAGTGTGATATCGAACAAATAAGCAACATATATTCACGGGTGTCCCATTCTCGCTATATAGATAATAGCAAGCATTTTTGCCGATTATAAACGCGAGGATTGACGGAATAAATTCACTTTTGCAAGTGATGATTTGAATATTATGCATAAACTTGTTTACATACGTCAATTCTTAGTGCTGGTTCAAAGAACAAGCGGAGGTAGTATAGGTAGATAAGTACATCGATTTGCAAATCTTAGGACACTACGCAGTTTCGCATGTCCGAAAAACGCATTAAAAGTATTTTTTGATAATGGAATACAGAATGTGGTGTCTATAAAATATTTGACTTAAACTAAATTATATACACTGAAGCAAAAGGAAAAGAATTAGTTTACCTTGGCCCATACATTGATTAACCAAAGCTACTTGACCGCTTAGCATATATAAGTCCATTTGCTGGCATATGCAAGATATGCTTGGGATAGTAATAAATGAAAAGGCTATGCAGGCTTTAGCAAAAGCCTGAGTTTTACGTGTTCGTTGACTGTGTACAATACTGTAGGCTTCCATAGCTAATTTATTAACATTCTGTACCAAGGTGCCATAAACAGTATCCAAGTTAGAGAACGTGCCACGAGCTTCAACATAGAAGCTTAGCTGACACTCGAGATCACGACCAAAGTAAACTTTGCGTATGAAATTGCTTATCAACTGAGAGATTTGACGTTTCTCGTCCGCCACAGTAAGAGCGCTAAAAATGGAAAGAAGTGGTAAAGAAATGCTTTCCTCCCTTGTTTTACCACTCAACTAACGTTAAAGAATCGTTTAAGATTTTTCCAATGTACATTAAAGCACTAATGACCACGGGATCCGTAGTATATTCATGACTATTGCGTTTATATACTATCAAAATGCGTTTACAGGCTTCCGATTTCACCGCGTCTTTATGAAATAAATCTAAAAACGGCAAAAAGTTTTCCTGCAATGAAAATTTTTTAAAAGAAAAATTTTTACATTTGATACAATGTTTACCTGTATTAGCAGCAATTCTATATTCTTTTGATTTTCTAAAATTTTATCTAAAATGTTATGCAATTGTTGAAAATGTTTCTCACAAATCTTTGTTGAAGACAGACGTGTAATAATTTCATGTAGGAGACGATTAGTTTCACTTATCTGAAATCCGAAACTTATAGTTCATCATTGCTATAACTTTTGTTTGTGAAAATACCGGAAAATTACTGGCTATAAATTGTGACCAAGTCTCCACACAAGTTATGTATTCACTGGGATCGGTAAATGTGTTTATGGTAAGGAAAGCTTCCTTGAGGAATCCTGAACGTTCTTCGCACAAAGGGACACATACTGACATGCTAAGACCCAATGCGCGAAACAATTGCGATTTTGAAATACCTTCCGTATGAGACTGAGATAAAAGATGAACAATTTCCGAAGCACGAGCGGCTATAAATTCTGACGTAAGCGCTTGTAGGATGGCCATTAATATAGGACCACTAAAACACATTTCATAATATATTAATAACAAATAATTGCATTTTCAAAAATATTATTCGTTACGTACTTGTTTTTAATAGTTTTTACTTGCTTCACGATTTCTTCCGTATAGAAGTTATTTTTATAAGCTACGGCTTGTAAAATGAAATTAACAGCAGGACCATAGAGAGATAAATATTTGGTCATATCTACACGCTGACGGTTTAATTCGGACCGTATAGAACCAGCAAATATCTGAAATAAGTAAACAATTGTATTAAGTTTAATTTCAATCGAAAATTTTTTGAAAATTTTGATTTGAGTTCGTGCCTATAGCGGTGATGAGATGAGAGCGGAGTAAATATATCTCTGATCAAATAGCAAATTGAGTAGAAAATCAACCGTTAATTTTCTCTCCTTTCCTGACTACAAAAAGGAAAATTTTCTTCTTACAGTTTTTTCTACGATCAAAATTACAGACCTAGTATGGTCTCTACCATTTATATTTTTGGCAACAAAATTCTTTATAACAAAACTGACGTTTATTTAAACTTGCATGGTAAGTATAAAAAGGTGATACTTCCTCCGCCTTGATCAAACAATTGTAACACACCCATGGACTCTTCTATTAGTCCAGTTGCAATAGTTAAGAGTTGCGGGCAGAATCTCAAAATTAAACACTTTGCGACTACCAAATTCTTCCCTCAATTCGGAGGTTAAGAATGACTAATACTATGGAAATCTTAAAATTATTATTATTATTATTATTATTTTTAATTTTAGACTAATGAAATGAATTCTTAGACTAAAAAAAGGACATTGAGCACTAGCAACACAGGCTATCGGCTCTAATTAAAAAAAAATAAAAAAAATGAAATAATAAAATGTACATTAGATAGTGAGCTTAGTAGTATTAATAAAGTAATGTATAGAATTGATATTCTGTTCTGAAGCTGATTGTAGAATGTTCAAAAGGTTAATCGTTCCAAACGCAATACTTCTAGCCAAGGAAAAGTTGAGGCAGTCGCAGAGAATGTGCTTTATAGTAAGAGTTTTTCCACAACAGCAGATTGGGGAAGAAGACTTCTTCAGGATCCATTGGTGAGTTGCATTTGTATGACTAAGGCGAATTCTCGAGAATGTTTGGATCTTGGTTTTCTCAACATTTGTTGGATATAGAGGTGGAGTTAATTGAGGGTTAATGCAAGAGTAGTGTTGATGATGCTATTGTAACTTTCCGTCTGCAATTTTCTCTTTAACTTTTCTTCCAATGTATTTTTGAAGATCCAACTTTTCCATAATATCATCCATAATTAGAGGAGCTTCTGCTCCTCTTCTGCTGACAAGGTTGGCAGTTTTTATGGGCAAGGTTGGCAGCGTGAAAGATAGCTCTGGCTTCGGTTATGAAAGTTGAAGTACTTTCGTAAAATATGTGTTTGAAAAGAACCCGGCCGATTTTGAGCCGTCTGTGTACAAAAGATTCCAACCAGTACTGTCCAATACTTGGGTTTTTTCAGCTATTAGATTCCTGAAGACATAATTTGGGGTATCTTCTTTCTTGTGCATAGACAGTGAGATGTCAAAAGAGCAGTGTTTCAAAATCCAGGGAGGTTTAACACCAAAAGAGCGGGAAATTTTTAAGGGAATGTTCAATTCCTTTGCGATGCACAAACAATGGTCAATTGCAGATGGTGACTTTGGAATTTTCTTCGCAATAATAATCTTTCTTACGTCATCACCGAGAATGGATTTGTTTGAATTAAGAAGCTTGGGGACTATTTTAGCTTTTAACTCATACACTCTATTTTCTAAAGTTGGCAGACCAGTTTCAATTATAATATTATTTATGGGCGTCGTCCGAAAAGCATAACAACTTGCTCTGACTGCTTGGCGGTAGACCGGTTTAAGGATGTTGATATTAGATTTGCAGCTATTGCCATAATTTATCAAAGCATAGTCAATCTTGCTTAACACAAGCATTTTGGTAAGATAAGCAATAGTGTTAATATGCGCATGGCTTCTCCAAGCAACGTACTGTATGAAATTTACCCTTGTTAAAAGGGACTTTTTTAACCGAAGACAGTGTGCTTTCCAACGATAATTGTTGGAAAACGTGAGCCCGAGAACATGGAGCGTCTGCATATTTAGTACTGGTAAGTCGTTAATATGCATCAGTAGGTTTCCTGCATCGCACATTTGTTTTCGACAAATGTGCATTTTTTTGATTTTTGTATAGAAATTTTAGTTCCTGACGAGTTTGCCCATGTGGAGATCTCACATGGAGTAGATTCGAGGATGTTGATTGCTTTCGTGTTGTCTTTTTTTTTTGTAAAAATGTATACATCGTCAACGTAGAGACAATGTTCCACTCTTGGTACACGGCAAAGAATTTTGCTAATTTCGTTGAAATCGATCTGGAAAAGCGTGACAGAGAGAGGAGATCCTTGCGGAATGCCATTCTTTAGCGGAAAGGAATCAGAAAGATGATTGTTGATTCTCACTTTGAACCGCCGATGCGACATGAATCATTTGATGTAGTTGAAGAATTTGGATCCAACATTCCATGATTTCAAGAGTCTTAAGATAACATGAAAACCAACTCTGTCAAAAGCTTTTTCGAAATCAATTGAGAGAATTGTTACGTGATTTCGTTCGGAAATTGCTTTGCTTGTGAAATAATCAATATGTAACAGAGCGTCGATGCACCCTCTACCCCTCTTGAAACCAACTTGTTGCTTTGTTATCAGGGTCTTGGACTCAAGAAACCAAGATAATCTAGATACCATAATCTTCTCTAATACCTTAGAGAGGCAAGATAAAAGAGAAATTGGGCGATAATCTGATGCGATGGAGACATTTTTTTGACTTTGGAATTGGAACAACTGTTGCCAGTTTCCACATGTAGGGATATACGCCAGTCATAAATACCGTATTATATAGGTCCAGTAATATCTTTTTACTAGACTTAGACATAGCAATGATCATTTGGTATGAGATGCGGTCTAGACCAGGTGTCTTCCCCTTCAAATTGGAGAGACAACTTCAAAGTTCTGAGGTAGATACGCAATTTTCCAGGAACATGGCACATCTATCAATATTATTTGAAAGAGATATTGGAGTCCTTTTATTTTCGATGAAAGCGCTGGAGAAGTTGCTGCCATAGGAGTATTCTCACCACACTTTTCCAAAGTAATTAGAAATCTCATCTTCATCAGTTAAAGTTCCATTGGGAGTGCATTTGGCAGAGATTTCGTTCAGATTTGAAGTTCCATTGAGTCTGTTGGTTTTGCTCCAGTCAACTTTCATTGATATATGCTTTTCGAAAAAAATTGGAAACTAAGTGCCTTTGATTTTCGTAATTCTTTCCTGAATAGAGCATTGGTCTTTTTGTATAGTAACAAATGATCATGATCAGGACATCTCTTAAAGCGGTGCCATAGATCCATTTTATTTTTCCTCAAAAACGAAAGCGTGTTGTTCCACCAAGGAACCCTAGCTCGTTTAAAAGAGGTGTTGGATTGAGGAATAGAAAGATGAGCAGCTGTGCGAATCGCTTTAGACATAATACCAATCATAATCTTAAAATTAATTTTAAGAAAATATTTAACTTTATTGAAATGATTAGTGTGATTAGTGACTAGTGTTTTATTTTTCAATAAGATCGATAGTCTTCGCAATGATGGTGAATGATGGCGGTCTTAAATATTCAACGAACAAAGTAAATTTTTTTAGTGTATTGATAATCTGTTTAAAAATAAATTAAAAATGCATCCGAATAAGTGATTTATTCGTAAATCATACGGGCAGATTTTCCTTAACGTTCTTTGTATTCGATTCAGTGAATAAGGCGCGATTTTTTATCTGCTCTTTAATAAGGATGAGTTGCCATAAAGTTCATAGCCTTCAAATGTTTTTGATAAGAGAGAAGATGACAAAGAGCCTGTCTTTGCTCATTCGCTTGCCTGCCCTTTCGTCTTTTAGTTATTGTAATATTTAAAATCGCAAAAATTGAATTGAAAACGAAAAATGGGGACTCCACAGTGGAAATGTGAAATAAATATTTCAAATTTTGCACCGTTTTTTTCGCACAAATCCGTCGTTTGAATTTTCCCCAGTGGACAAAAATAAACAAAATAAAGTAAAAAAAAATCTTTCAACTTGAAATTTATTTTTTCTGAAGATTAATAACGTTGTTAATAAATGCCAGAGCACTAATGGATATAAATCGTGTAATTAATGAACATGAAGCGATGTAGTTTAAATATAAGAACGGGTGCAAGATTAGAAGTTAGCAGTATTCGTGGAAAGTATATTGAGCACTGGTTAAACAAGTGCAGTTCGTCCACGACGAAGCCGACTTGTTGCACGGGCCGTTCAATTACTACGCTAAACAGTAAGAATGAAAATGTCCGGTTTAAGTGCCATAATAATTGAGAGAATGTTATAAATCTATCGCTATATGTAAGGTATTCCATTAGGTCTTGACGTACATCATTCGATACTGACTACATTTTTATCTCCAAATCCACATTAACAGTACCACATGACAATACGCTTTGTAGAAAATATAGAACTCATAATTTCTATTGTACTTATTCCAATTTGGATTCCACAAAAAACATTGCCAAGCAGTTCTATGGTTTAAATAATCTCTTTAATATCGAAAGCGATACCACCGTCTCTCACGTTATATCATTTCATTTCACGATTTAAACCCCATGTCGATTAGGCAAGCAACATCTGCTGATTCGGACAACAAATGAAATCTGAAAAAATGTAAGAAGCTTTCATTCTTAAGAAGGAAGTTATTGAACACTGAGTATTTCGTTGACTCATACAAGTTGGAAAACGTTGATTCGCTTATCAATTTAGGGGTTCTATTGGACCAAAGGTTACGTTTTAATTTGGACAATGCGCTCTATTTAAGTAAAGTTAGGTCCGCATTTGGTTTCAGTAAGATTTGGTCCAAAGAGCTTATCCTTATATTACAAAAAGGCCGTACATGGTCAGTTATGGCAATAATTGAGTATGCTTCTGGTGTGTGGACTCCTTTCTACTGGTGTTATGTAGATTTAATTGAATCCGTTCAATTAACGCACTTCTTGCTGTTTGCTCTTAAGAATTACGGTTGGGACCAGTTTGTCTCTTTTTCTCCTTACCAAAATAGGTTGCTTTTGTTATCTTTACCGTCACTTGAGAAACGTAGATTTATTCTTGGTGTTTCCTTCTTCATTAAGATAATTAACTATCGATTC